GGGGATTGCGATTTTCTAGCTTTGTTGACTTGACTGTTGACAAAATCTTAAAACGTTTTAATTTGTAATTAAAAAGCAAACAGAAAAACACAAAAATTAGCAAGCATTTCGAATCATGTATCGCAAAAATGACGAAATATAATTCAGATCACTCTGATCCACTCCTTGTGATTGAAGTGTAACGTTTTTTGTGGAAGCATGCAATTTGATACTCTGCCCTCCCCCATTAGCCAATCTATTTTTGTAAAGTCACGTAACCAGCCCCAACCAGGGTCTTTCCGCAGCTTGGGGCGTGCGAAGGTAAGAGCCTGGGTACGAGGTTGGGTTTCGAATAGCATTAATAAGGAAACTTTTACCAGTGCCTGCAACACCATTTATGATTAGGCACAGTTGCTCTTTTTCAGATGATGTATCATCACAATTAGATTTAACGATCTCATAAGCTCCTTGTTTATTTTTATCCATGTTGGCATTTCATGGATTCGTTGTTCTGAATAATTAGCTCTGTCAAGATGCCAGTCATATGTGGACTCTGTTATCTGCTCACAATTGTCAAAAGGAGTGTTGAGGTCTGATAGTATCATCCACTCTTCTCGAGTTGTCTCCTGTTCTTCGGAAGGTTCATCTTCTGGTTCTTGACTCTGAATGACTGTTTGTAATTTATCAAACCAGTCTGGGACATTAGATTGTCCATAAGGTGTTTGTTGGAAATATTCGCGGTATAACATTCTCTGGCAATTTTGTCAATTCATTGTTAACAACTTTGTATGTTGTAGCAAATTGAACAAAGTTCATATTTATTATATTTTGTGAACTGTCATACTGTTCACGATTAGTATAGACATCAAGAAGTGAATAATCAGTGCACGATTCACTCTCGTCAATACTTGCAGTATCACGCACTCTTCGTGAACCATTTAGACTAACTGGCATCACTTTAAAGGATGAGCTGTGGAGTTTTAAAGACAACAAATGATGCATTGTCTCTTGAGCTGCATAATCCCTTTCACCAAGAGATTTCATAACTACTTTCTTAATAGCTCTACGAGGGTCAGTATTACTGTCAACATTTTGCACAATAGAATTGAATGCCTGTTTCAATATAGGTGATCTTGGTTCACTTTTAGCTGCATATTTTGTGAGATATTCAACACAAGCATAGTGATCAATAACAACTTGAATATCACAGTTAGCTCTCCATCCTTGGAGCTGAAGTTGTTGATGGTTATTTAACCTTGAGTCATTTCGTTTAGTCACAATCTTAGCTCGATAATGTTCATTATCACCTGAAGTGTGCATTTTTTCAAATTCTAATTTTGTCTTAGGAGAATGATCAAAAGCGAAATGAAATCTACATTTCAACTCAGTTTCACTCGACTTTTTTCTAAGACAATAGCTTGTACTACAACGAGTGTGTCGTTGAACCATGTTTAATAGATCTACATAATCTGATAATTTTTCATGGTCAGGAATGTCGTGATGACTTTTTTGACATGGATGAACTTCAGGTATTATCCATATGTCCTCGTCTGGTGGATTAGGATTGACAGTCGATAACAACCAATCAACATACTGACATACCGTGTCAGCTGCTTTAAATTTCCGACCAGCTTCAATATCCTGGTCTAGTTCAGTTGTGTCAGAACAATCATTTTCATCTTTAAACTTTTGAGCTAAGAAACCTTTCAAAGCAGTCTTAGTAAGTTGACACAAACCTGGGTCATTATTTAGTTTAGCAGTACCATGACAATGGATAGTACCTCTACCTTGATATTCATATCGAAACCAGTGCCATTTTGCACCAAGTGTGTCATAAAGCCAGTGTTTTACAAAGCTTTCTAATCTTTGGGTGAAAAACCAATCTACAACATGGGGATTGTTGATCACATTTTGTCGTCTTACTTCACTGGCAGAATTACCAGTTTCAAAGTTAGTACCAGTATTAAATAAAGCATGTAACTCAGGCCAATGCATATCTGCAGAGGAAAAAGTGAAAAATAATGTTGGTGCTCCAACACTAGTTATTATAGCTTTGAGTTCCTCTCTTACTCTATTCCAGTAAGCATTAGTACCTGCAATATTTCCAACATATCTCGACACTTTAGACAAAAACAAATTTGCATTGTTACTGGCAGCCATTTCACGCAGTTCATCAATAGTTAGATGAGCTTCACCTGGGTTCTGTTTTAAGAATATTCCACTTTGCTGTAAGACTCTTTTTCGTTGAATCATGTTAAGGTTACAGGATACCCTAGAACGTAAAAATTTTGAATTTTTTTTTCTTTACATGTTCTTGTTGCTTTTGAGCATACCTGTCATCTGGAAAAAAATGTAAATCAGTATCTTTAAAATTAAACAGGTTATTTAGTAAAACGCGATTGAAGTCTATATGTTTGGCGGAAAATGTGTTTGACAGAAAATCGACACCTTGTGCAATTCAATTAGTGTATATGTCATCTCGTATTCCGTTATCACAACATGCGGTTGTAGACGCACATTTCTCTTGCACTGAAATCTTTGCTGAAAAAATGCCGCGAATAAAAGCTGATTCTGGCAAAAGCAATAAAAACATAGTCATATTTGATTAACACCTCGATTAACACTATTAGTCTACACACAACTTCGGGATCTTCAAAGCTTCACAAAAGATGTCCAGCTCAATATTGTAAGCATCCTAGAAGCAGAATAAAAACGACGACTGGTGACTTATGATTTTTGCCATATTTACTAATTTAGCCACAAGTGCATGACTAACCGGAAAACTGGAACTGAAAGCTTTATTAGATCGAATTAGCCCTTTCGTTCCCTGCGCGGCTTTTATAGTGACCTTTGGCTTTGCGTACAGAATATCAAACTCACTTCTCTTATCTCTCGATTATTATGGCGGCGATTATTATGCGAACGTTTTTTTGTTAAAAATGCACATGGAGACAAATTGGGTGACCTCTTACCGCCTAAACTTGAACATAACTATAATACACGTTATGGAAGCGATTATAATAACTATAGTTGTAAAACGGACAGATATATGAAATCGTTTTTTCCACAGATGGTTTCACATATGAATAGACCATAATTTTAATATTTTTAAATTTGAACTCTATAACTTTTTCAACTGAAGTTATGAATAATTTTATGCATTTAGATATTCATATTGTAGTATAATGAGACTTTTTACTGATGTAATTTAACCTAAAGGTTACAAATCGGTATTTTATTAAATTAAATTATTAAATTATTACTCCTTTTACGTCACCACGATATATCGCTCAGGAAATTTAGTACTTCGACAGGATATAAGCCGCATCCTTGGGACCGATTCCTTGTTTCTATAAATTAACGAAAATTTAATGACATTTTACAATAAAGCCTTTTATTTCCAAAAACATTACGATGCGCGGCGTACTAAAACCGCAAAAATCCAGCGAACCAGGTGCAATTATGTATATAACATAATTGCCCCTGCAATAATGCATGTTATGTAATATATATTTGTATACAATAAATTAGGTTAGGGTTTTTTTTCTTCTTTTTTTTTGTGGGGGTGCGCCTAGCATGGGTCTCGTTGTCCCGTTTGCGCTATCCCCTTTGGACTTAAACTTGTAAACGTTACTATATTTGTCCAATAAAGCTGATAAATAAATAATAAATAAATAAATAACTGATTCAAAACTTACGATCAGCGCGTGTACCCATCGACAATAGAAAAATACCGTACAATTCTAGGAGGTTTACCACGCTTCTTTAGCCGATCTTCAACACCAGCCTCAATATTCTTAATAAAGTTTGTTCCATCGTAACTGAAGAGAGAGAACAAATGCATGGCTTTCTATAACGTCAACTAGCAAAATATCGTCGGATCAAAATGCGATAAACTAAGTTTCCTTACCCTTTAAGGCTTTATCTTTCATCGTTGCCATTAGTTTTTCTTTGTGGTCCACATCGCCATCAGCTGAATTCTATCGTTCTGCATTTTTGTCGCTTTTGAGATTCTGCGCTTTTTTGTGGCGCGTTGGTTTGTCTTATTTTAAGCCTCAGCTTTTTCTTTTCGTTTAGATATGACTTGATTATATATTGTGGCCTTGCCGCAAACGTTATCTGTCATCGGATTAACTTTATAATGACAGTACGTCACAGTAGGCGGAGTACCTGATTACACTGAAAGAAAACCCGCGAAATTTTCAAAGCGCGTTTTGAGGCACTTGAGTTTTGAGTCGAATACACGCACTAAATAAAGTTTGTTAAGCGTGCGTTTTAACCGATTTTTGTCAAATGTCCACACAGCATAGGTACATATTTCGGCTACAAAACGGTGTGCGCGCGAGCTTTTTATTCAAATAATAAGCAAGTTACAAGCTTTTTGTTGTCAATTAGTTGCAATATAGCATAGGTCTGGAATGAATATGCCGTAACTAATGAACCCCTAAAGCAACTACAAAACGCGAACAACGTTTTTTAGAACAACCTTTGAGAAGAGTAAAAATGATGTTTTTATAGGATTTGAGTAAAACCGGCGTCTAACAAACTTCACGGTGCGGAAGTACCGCGATTTTAGACTTCGGCAAATATCTGAATAAGTATTTATTCTTTCGTGCATATGATAAGAACATCGTATACTACATTTATCTAACTACATTTGGTGAAAATTTGATGGAATTTGGATTAAAATTGATCAAGTTACAGTGGATCTCCCGAAAGGCATGTCTAGGGTATCCTGTAACCTTAAACGCCCAATATGAAAATCGGGGGTGGTTAGCAAAACGGTATACCCATTTACCATCAATAATTTCAGCAAATTTTAGAAGATGCTTTATTCTTTCCTGAAAAGGGACATCCCTGAGAAGTCCTTTATTACCTTCACCTTTCCCATCTGGAAATAAAGTTGGGAAAGCCATTGTGGCCAGATGTGATACCTGATACTCATTAAATGGTTCATTTTCAACTGAGGGCCACAGCATTGGGTCATTTTCAGACAGCTGATTTCTTACAGCTTCAATTTCCTGTTGTTGTTGTTCGCCAACAGGTAAAAAGCTACTCATTTCAGTGGAGTCATTATAAACAATATCCTCTGATGGGTTATCTGTAGGAGGACCTGCATCAGGAGAACAATTGTCATCTGAGACTATATCATCATCAGTCTCAACAGTCATGAGGTTTGGTGATACACCATTTTCAGGTAATGAATTTAATGCATCTTCATTAATTAATAACTCAGAATAATGTGGGTTATTATTATCAGCCAAACTAAAGCATTCTGTACTTTTTTCTTTCGCACTCTCACATCCTTGAATGTGTTTTCTCGACCTTTTACCTTGACAATTATCACAGCCAAGTCTTTCGGGTATCTTGGTAAAGATGTTACAAGTTCTGTGACATTTTGTGGCAAGTTAATACAGTGCCCTGAATAACCTCGTTGCCCACCTGGTTTAATATAAATTCTCATGATAGGAAGAGCACGAGCAATTAACATTTCCTCAACCTGAGTTAAGTCTTTTAATTCATTTGGAACAGGTGAAGGTATCATTGAGTTTTCAGAAGAACATTTTTGGGGAGATTTTTTATCTCTACAGCATCGTGAACACACATAAGGTGACCTTGGTTTAGATTTCAAAGGCCATGCCTCCTTACAAACTGTGCACTGACTGACAATATATTGCACAGACTTATGAAATTTATTAATGTTAGCTTTTGCCCAACATTGCTTTTCAATACCACCATTTCGGGTGC